GTTTTACAGAATGAAATGTCTGAATGAGAGCTCATCCAAGACTGCTGATTCCATACTTTTTTTCCAGGGGTTGTATAAAAATATTGAAATGGAACTTAAAAAAATAATAAAAAAAAAACATACCTCTGAGCACAGAAGGGCATGCTTTTTATTTGGCTAGATGCCACAGAGTCGTTGAGCAGCCTTTAAAGGATGATGTAATGTCACTAACGGAAAGGTACTGCTGCTCTGCCTCTATGCAATACTAGTTTCAGTGTCAGTGAGTTCTGCACCAATGGAAAACTAGCATGCTCCTTTCTGTTGTGACAAATTAGAAAAGATTTTTCTGAGCACCAATTTGACAGAGGGAACTTGTACACRTTTGTATTTTAGAAGTCAGTTTTTAAACCCTGAAGATAATAATWTTGGACATATTTAAATGTTTTTATACTTCTCAGCAGCTGTTAAGTTCAGCTTTTTTTTCAAGCCTGAGAAAAAAGTAATTTGTGCTTTGCATATTGTTAGATGCTTTGGATCAATTCCAATGGACGCATTACCCACACATTTGATCAAATTCACTGTTCATAAATTGCCAATTCTTCTGCTTCCCTGACTGTGTGCTTGCTTTAACACATTTAAATTTTGGGCCTGGTTTAGTTTAGAAAAACAAATACTAACATAGGTCATGTTAACGTTTTTKTTTTTTTTTTTTTTGAAGAAATTTTATTCCATTTAACACTCATTTCAATGCACTATGCATACAGTTTTTTCCTAGGAAAAGCTTTATATTTTGATCACTATTTTTGTGTAATTACCTACTTTTATGATGAAATTGATGCACAATCTGCTTTGAATGGCTTATGTCACGGTCACCTCAAACAGAATGCACTTTACTCGGTATGATTAGTTCATTCACGCCTTAATCACTCACAACACTTAATTCTTTCTCTCATTAGCAATCAGAATTTCTTTTACAGAAACCAATCTCTCTGTAGGAAGTTCCACCTCAGATCTGACAGAAGGAGGGGCTGTGTTCAAGAAGAATATGTTTATATTGTGCTGTGATTCTTGATTCTTTACCAAAATTAAGGACAATAATAGTCTGTATTTTGGTCCAGCTGTGGGTAATTGTATGACTTTATTTCTTGCATTTAATATTCAATTCTGTTTTTATTTCCTGGTTCTCGACTCGCACTGATGTGACTGAACACATTCTTTTCACTAACATACAGTCATGTTAATGTTTTTTAAAATATTTTTTAAGTTTCTCACTCCCACTTTTAGCAATTAGCTCGTTGACTTTGTCGGCTATGGTCCTGAACTTTTTCCTGGTTATACGTTTTCAGCATTGAGGAAAAAAAACATAGCATAGACTCTGGTGGGAGKCTTATGTCTTATGAATAGAGCTGTACAGTTTACAGTGTCTTTAACCAAAATAATGTACTTAGTGAACATTAAATTTAAAAATTATTTACGAAAGACCCAAAAATCTATGAAGTTTTGTTCACTAAAAAAACTAATAAAAAACTTAGAATAAATACAAATACAATACAACGAAGTAAATTTTTTCCACTAAAAGGACAATTAAGATCATCTCACCCGTTGCCTGATCTTGTACATGTTCTTGGACAGGATGTTGTGCATGTCCCTCAGGTCCTCAACCAAGAATTTCTTCTTAGGTTTAGCAGAACGTTTCTTTTCCTCCCTAACATCAAAAGAGATATTAAAAAGGTTAGTTCCTCTCCTGTTGATCTGAACAGACGAGACAGCTGTGTGTGACAGGATCCAGGTCTCATACTGAAGCAAGACGGTGGACGGAGTAGCTCTGATGTCTACAGACACCATGTCCAGGATCTCCATGGCGTTCTGCAGCTCCAGCTTCTTGTAGAGCGCAACTATACTGGACTCGGCTCTGTTTTCTCGGATCAGGATCCTGCGCAGAAACCGGTTGTTGAACTTCATGAACCTAAAAGTAGGAGCCAAAAAATGAGAAAATTAGGCCGTCGTACCAGCCATCATTTATGTCCAATAAGCAAAAAATAGATGCAGTGACTCAAATTATTCTACTCGTTTTGTGGAGCAACTTGTCTCCTTTGTGCTGTAAAAATTATTTTTATAGAATATAGTCAACAAATCTTGATGTATTTAAAATTTTGTTTTTAAAATCTCAATAAAAATCTTTGACTTAATGCTGTCAGACACTTTGTATTGTTGCTGATGGCATTCAGATTGATGTGCAATGCAGCTATGTAAACTTCACTTTTGGGGCGGCTGTGGTGTAGTGGTAGAGCAGCCGGCTTGGGACCCGAAAGTCTTAGGTTTGACTCCCCGCCATGCCCACATGTCGTAGTGTCCTTGAGCAAGACACCTAACCCTAACTGCTCCCCGGGCGCCTCACATGGCTGCCTGCTGCTCCACTTGGGTGTGGATGGGTCAAATGCAGAGCACAAATTTCATCATTGTATGGAAACATACACTGATGACCAATAAAGCACTTAAAAAAAAACTTCACTTTTGTTTCTAAAGCACATTGCTAAAAATATCTAAATGGAGGATTAAATGAATTGTTATAGCCCAAAACCTGAAACTACTTTGTACGTTTGCTTTGTTGCTTTTAAACTAAGAAACTAGACAAAATTTGTTTTGTTGCACACGAAGATGTATAAAAATAATTTGCTCTAATAGTTCTATCAGTCTAAATACTGTGAGCCAAAGCAAACATGCAGTACAACATGTCAACTTTACATGGGTTGTATTAGGAGCATGTTTTTACTGGTTAAATCAAACTGAAGATCTTAACAAACCTGTCTCCCAGGACAAGAGAGGAGAGGAGGATATCAAACACAAGAGGAAGAGGAAAAATGAAAATAATTACTGATAAAATCTTTCAAAACAAGTGTTAAAGTGAATCCACAGAAGTGTGGATTCTGACAAGTTTTGTAACAACATTCCAAGCACCACAAAGAGGTACTGGAAGTAAACATTTTAGAGATGAACATATAAAAATGTTGCCTCGGACTGCTGAATCTAAACATGACACCAAACTTGATCAGCTGTCAAAACTCCCACATGTTTCTGATGTGAGAAAAAACATCACTAAAACTTAGCAGGAAAACTAAAATAGCATTCAGTTCTCTTGCTGGAGTTTGTTTTTAGTTTGGTTTCCATTACTATGAATATTATGTTGTCTTTAAAGTACCTGTAACATTTTTTTCGTAAAAGTATGAATGCATTTTTTTTGAAAGACTCAACATTTTGCAAAACAATTTTCACACCCCTACGATGAAMAGTTGTTGAGATATTCACAAATGAAATAACAGGAAGTGATGTCAAATGTCTAATGGGAAAAGAACAATGCTACAACAGCTGACAACACAGACTAGAAAAGAAATGATGTTTCTTTTGATCATTTCACTCACTAACAGAGAGTCAGAGTTCAAATAATGTTTTAATAMACAAAGATCAGAGCGATAAGAATCCCCATTTGATGTCATTTTCTGTTTTACTTTGGCTGAACCGAATTCAAAAGAAAATATGCCATTTATGTGACAAAATGCTTTAATGTGTATAATGTCGTTTCTTAGTATAAAGAGGTTTTCTTTGACTTTTTGCATTTGAACGATATGCATGTCGCAGACACTGTAAGGTTGCTAAACTGTATTTTACAAATGTCTGTGAACTGCCAATCATTTATGAGTGTTTTTGAGCTGCACAAGGGCATAAAAATATGAGAAATGTCTTACTTGTCCTTCCAGTAGAAATGGCTCCACTGCCCACAGAGATCGTCTATTCCTGCCATGGTGTGCTCCATGAGCTGAGAGCAAAGTGACAGATGTTAGGGCCTCTGTGACAAGACACATACGGTCCACTAAATAAATAAAAGTCTGGGTCATACCCTGCAGTGGATCTCTATATTGATGGTGTCCTCTGTGCGCTTTGTTCTGCGGACGTTGATGAGCTCAATCAGAGGTCGAATGCTGATCCCCTAAAAGAGAACTTATTTTTTATCAATAATTTGTTTTTCTGGACATAAAGTTCGATCAAAGTAGGAAGAATTTTGAGTTTGGTGTAGAGAGATTAAGAGTAAAATCCGAGTTTTTAGTAAATATCTTGTCAGACAGATAAATACCTAACTGACATCCTCATGACAAATCTGGTCTCTAAACTGGAAACTGAGATTATTCAATCCAAAAACAGCTAATGTTTTCATACCTAAAGCAACAATCAGAATGTGACTAAAGTCTTACCTGAATAAAGACGGTGAAGAGGATGACTGCGATGGTGGCGGTGACGAAGAGCGGCTTTCGACCGATTGTATCGGGCAGAGTGAAGGCCAGAGCGAAGGTAATGGCCCCCCGCAGTCCTCCGTAGGCCAAACCAAACTGATCTTTCAGGTTGAAGGAGATGGTGCGGAAAGGGTTAATGATCTGAGTTAGCATAAAAATACCTGCGAGAGGAGAAGAGGAAAACAAAATTAAAAACTGTACTTCTGGCAAGTATAAAATCTCATATTACAACCTTTTTTCATATTATTACAGGGATGTGTCTAACACTACAGGACTTTATTTAGTTTGCATGACTTTTCAAACCAGTTAGTTAGCCACCAACTACTAAAAGTACACAGTGCTAAATTTAATAAGTGTACTTAAGAAAAAAAATAACTGTTTTGTGCACATTTTAAATGCAACAAAGCCCTGTGGATAAATTATGCTTTTTCATTCAGTGAAGCTAAAATAATGGTGGGACACCCATTCTAAAATATAATATATTAGCACCACTCCATCTGATCCATAAACTATGGTTTGCAAAAAAATAATTTCTTGATTCAATTTATGATAATCTTCAAAGATAGTGTATATTTTTATCCAATCAATATTCAAGTTTCACTCTGGAACCCCGACTTTTTGTCCCAGAAGACTTTAAACCAACAACTCCCATTTCAAAGGCTGTCATCACTGTAATGTTATCCAGTGTTCAATTATAATGTAGTTATCCATTTGAATCAGACAAAAWGATCCATTTTAGTCTTGTTAAAAGAAAGCAAGAAACTAAAAAAGTTTTGTGATTTGGGACCTTTAAAGCATTTGTTTTTCCTTGAATCAGCAGTACAGTAGACACAATGGGCCATTTGAGATAAACAGATGTTTAAAGCAGCACTAACGGCCTGATATCAAAGCTTACCCAGACCTCTCCACACAAAAGCAAACAGCAGCGTGAAGAGAATATAGCCCCAGTTCCACTCATGTTCTGTTGTYACAGTGACAACACCCAGGAAGAAGAAGATGATGGTCTCTGAGATGGAGCCGAGCATCTTGACCATGTGTCGGATGGTTGTGCAGGAACGCTGGGAAACATTCTCCTCAACGTAGTACTTCATGGTGAGAGCACAGCAAACAATGCTGCGGGAACACACAAAGACTGCTGTCGTGCCTTTCTCTGTATCTTTCATTAAACGGTCTGCCATTTCAATTTCACTCACGCCATGATGGATGAGATGGCAAACAGCTCGGACATCAGATATGCCAGGTAGCTGAACATGAATATGAAGAGGGGCTCAATCTCTCGGACCTTGGAGGTGAACCTCGTTGTGAAGGCGGCCACGAAGCCGAACAGGATGCCGAAGCCCATTCCACCAAGCCCGACCACAAAGAACCTGGCCACGCCCAAGGGCACGTCCACAGGCTCCACCACTGGCATGTCTGCCACAAAACTAAATATGTCGTACAACACCTGGGAACAGAAACCACCTTTTATTTTAAATATGCAAACATAGAAACCCACACAAAAGTCATGGGTGAGGTTGTGAACAGAGGCCTCTAACGATCATGTTTCACATAAAAGTGGTTCATTGTATTTACTCTGTGCTGTTTGTTTTGTGATAATCTCATTTTACTAAGCACATTGCATGAGTCAGGAAAAAAAGAGATTTTGGTTAAATCACGGGCTTTGTTATGCTATGTTTATTTCTGAATGTGACAATAACCAGCATCAATTTAATGAAAGGCAGAACTGAAACAAGAAAAATACTAATGTCAACAACTCAAGTTAAATAAGGAAGAAAAGTAAAAACATGAAGTCTCCTATTAGCACATCTCAACACCCATAACCTCCTAAACTTGTGAACAATATTGTGACTTACTTTTAAAGTCTAATGTACATCCAACTATTAAAAGCACAAATACTGTATCCTCAAGCTATAAGTAAAGAAGACAATACCAACTAATATAAAATTGCAGCTACATTAAGATTTTCTATATTAAGAGGTACTTTTACAGTAAAAGCTTGCATAGTCCACATGCACCAAATACAAATACATAAAAAAATGATTATACTTTACTTGAGCAATTATTTTTCAGCTAATTTTTCACTTCTACTAATTATATTTTAATCCACTTATCGGTACTTTCTACTCCTTACATTTAAAAAAATGTAAGGAGTAGAAAGTTGTTACCATTTCATTTTTGGCTTATTTTCATTCAGGCATGAAATTGTTAAAATAATAATAAAAATACCTAACCCTCCATATTGTACCTCCCAGATACAGTGAATTTAATTGTGGTTGGATGAAAAGTAAAAATATACATCATTCCAAAACCTTATTGGTTTTTACTCAATTCATCACACATGACACAAGCAGGACGTAGCAGACTAGTCTTGTGTGAAGAGGAGTGTGTCAAATATACTTTAAATATGCAGCTGAAACAGGTGGACTAGTCCATCCCAAATTTTTCTACATTAACATTTTAATATGGCATTATAATCTTTATGGTCTTTAGAAAAATGTTGTTTTGAGGAGGTCACCTCTCAGTAAATTTTGGAAATTCTCACTCACTTTTACTTCTAATACAGTACTTAAGTACATTTTATAACAACTTACTTTTGATACTTTAGTACAATAAATGTCAGATACTTTAAGACTTTTTCTCAAGTAACATTCTTAAAGGGGCTTTAACTTTTTCCATTGTAATTGTATGGTATGATTCTTCTACTTTCACTCAACTATCACTTTGAGGTAAGACTGTTGAAAACATCATGAAACAGGATCACATTCCATCAGGTAACAGGAAGTCTCTTGTTAAAATCTAAATATCACTTGCAGTTTATCTCACACTCATTGTCAAAACAGATAATTCAGAAACCTGAACACCGTATGAAATCAAACTTTAAAATGATGTTCTGCTCCAGTTAAAAATCTTAAATGTTTAAATCAAACTCACTCTTCTCTTATATCAGAAGCACTTCTGTCTAATATGAGGTGTGCTGCAGTTTCACTTCTGTGACTTGAACAACCCAACTCAACAGGTAGGTTTCAAATAAATGTCAGAGTGTTTGAACACAAATAAAAAGACCTGGGGCCTCATGTATAAATGGTGCATACGTATAAGTGTACRCCAGGTTCTACCTCCACGTTGGGATGTATCAAAACCAACGTTGCATGAAAGTGTGCGTATATTTATGCACACTTYTCACCTGCCGTGAGAATGTGCGGCAGCCACGCAAAGTTTTTCAGTCGACAGTTTTAACCCACAAAGTCATGAATCTGACCTGAATCCACAGAAGTATGACTCTGATCTGTTTTCTGGATGTAAGGAGCATCTGAAAACGGTGTAAGATTTTTTATTTTTATTTTAGTTTGAGTTTTTATTGTTTAAACTCGAACGATCATAAAACTGAACCCCAGGACTGAAAATCATTTAACCTCAGACAAGAAAATAGATCAGCCTAAAAATATATCAAAAGAACCTCAGTCCAGTCTTTAAACTGTAAAGTTTTTATACTTTTGTCACGTAGTTGGAAACACAGAGGGCATGGCCTGCGAGGTGCACACACAGCTCACACACACACACACACATACACATACATACA